AACCACTCACTTACACATACGGGATATCACGTCTCATGTAGACACGAGAGGACCGCGTAATTCTTATCACGTCTGCGTAGTTATAGACACGTCAGAATTTCCACAGAGACCTAACACTCTGACGCGAATGTGTCAGTGCAACAAGATTCTCCGGCATTTCGTTACTTTGTACGCCGCGGAGGTGAATGCGCAGGCGGGGAGACGCGCGCCTTGCGAAAATGAGACGTGATAATGTTTCTGACCAATTTACAACTTACCAGACGATGTTAAATCAGACGGCGGAACTCTCCGACTGGTTGACGTGCAGAATAATGTGGTCGGGCAACCTAACTCTGAGATACTGCACTATACGGCTCCAGACTAACGATTATCGCGTCGCGCCCGAATGAGAGTTTCTATAAAGTTTCTCGCACCAACTGCTCGTGACGTCACGCAGCGAGCGCCAATGATAACGTGCGTGGGTGTTTTCATTGTCGTGTTATCGAATGGCTTTATAATCGACGTGAGATGGCGCAGTGGTCGCGTCGTGACAGACGCGGTAATATGCTTGCGGGTGTTAAAGACTCGGATACGGCGTCCCCAAGCACCCGAGTGCACGCAAAACAGCGTCAATATTGCAATGACACGTCATAGTGCCGTAACTTCACGCTCAGGAATATATATTGATATAAATATATATTATATGCGGAGTGATGTAGGAAGCAGCGATAAGCTAGTGAGAAAGAGAGATGTGGGCGAAAGAAAATTTTGGGCGAAAGAGAGAGAGAGAGAGAGAGAGAGAGAGAGAGAGAGAGAGAGAGAGCGTGTGTGTGTGACAAAGGAAGTAGAGGGAGGCAGTGAGACAAAAAAGAGGGAAAAGAGCCGGAGGACACGTGAATGCTACTAGGATGGCAAAGATCGAGATGCTGGGAGTGATAGACTTAAGGAGAGAGAGAGAGACACATTTCCCTCCTTCCCACACACGAACACCGCGCACACCAGCTCACACCGCGCGCACACACTCATACACGCATACACCAACACGCACGCGCGCACGCACGCACACACACACACACACACACACACACACACACACACACACACACACACACACACACACACACACACACACACACACACACACACACACACACACACACACACACACACACACACACACACACACACACACAGTCACACACACGCGCGCGCATATATATGTATATATAATATGTAACCATATAACCATATTATATTTATATATATAAAAACTTAAAACAACCTTTGTTCGAGTATTGTTTTGAGCGATTACGACGAATTTCCTATTCTGTGCGAAGTTTTTTTTTTCGTACTGAAGATGTAACTAGAACATCCTCTAAAATAGTTCCCAAACTGGGCGGTACCGCCCCCTGGAAGCGGTGGAAAGATCCAGGGGGCAATGAGGAAAAATGGGGCGGTAGGGGAGCGGCAGGGTGGCATCAGAACCAAGTAAGCATTTTTTTTTACAAAATCTATATGACAAACTCTAAGCTTTGCGTACACGGCGAGCCTTCAGCTCAGCACTTGGATCGCACACACGCCAAGCCACGCCTCTCACGACTTTTCTCAGTTTGAGCTTTCTGCTTACAACTAGACACTGTGCAGTAGCTGCACTGTACTGTCGCAGAAAGGTTCGTTGTCGTATCAGTTACTACATATATGCACCCGAGGTACGTATATGTATAACAGACCTGTATCTTCTCAGCATATATGTACCCTGTGTTTAGGGTTAGGGTTAGGGTTAGGGTACACTTCTGTAGTACAAGTCTGGTACACTTTGTGTATACATATATGTACCCCGGGTACATAATATATGTAGTACCTGATACGACAACGACACCTTCAGCTGTACTGTCTGGCGCGGTTCTATACTTCGGACCTGCCCTATTTTCAGCCCCCTGATTTCCTATTGATAGTTCGTTTGTTCCTTTTGACGACTTGAAAAAGTGATTCAAGAGTCTCATATAATGTGTTCAGAATAGTTTAGAATGCACCAAAATGCACAATCTTTTTTTTAATTTTCGGGGGAGCATGCCCCCGGACACCCCTAGCATGGCGATCACCTTCGGTGCTCGCATTGCTCGCTCCTCTGATTTCTGCTGGAAATTTTGGGAACCAAAAAAGTTTGGGAACCACTGCGTCTAGACAAATGTCTAAATAGCTTGAATGGTTCCGTATCTGCACGCGGCACCTGGTCGCGCGGCGCGTGTGACGCTTGCAGACGAACATGAAAGCTTATTCGACTCAGCCGCATCTAGGGAGAAACACCCTTGAACCGAATAGCGGCGTGTGCTCGCTTAATGGAACAGAATCTTAGAGACTTCGCGTGCGAAATCTTAAAAGCGCGCGTGTACATCTAACTCCTCGCGAGTATACAAGTGGAATGTTAATGCTGTCACCGCCTGCTGTAACCGTGACCCTCACAGCACCCATGCCGGAGGAGTCGCTTGACTTGCGCCGAGCACATGAACAGAACAGCGGCAAGTCGCGACTGTCGCGCCATGCTCGGTGACGTGGGCTGATGTTGTTTACGAACGATCCGAGTTGTAGTCGTCGCTTATTTCATGTCGCATTTTTAGTCAGTTGCAACACATCGTTGCCCTAGTTTTAGAAGTTGTGACGAAGAAAAGAAGAAGTCTGTTGTTGATATGAAATAAATAAGCCATTTACAGTTATCAAGAGTGCATGACATTTGCTGGAATTGTACTTAAGCATGAATTATGTGCCATTACGTGTCTAAAATGTACATTTCTAAAGGTATAGAGTCGTATGAAATAAAGATTTTGAGATGTTAAACAGTTTCTGATGGGACAAAATTTCCGGATACAAAAGTGAGCTTTGTCATATCCCGCGTTGTAACCCGTCAACTTCTAGTTATCTATGAGCGTATGAGGTGAGTGTGAACATAGATATCAAACTAGTGTCAGACGAAGCCCTAACGCGTAATAACTTTTCGAGAACCCTAAATATTTAAATAGTTGATCTTCTAATTCACGACCAGGTGTTAAACTCGTTAGGCCCTTCGTTAAGACTAAAAATTATTGAATTACACAACAAAATTACGATTATGTTATCCGTATATTTGAAAGACTCGGAGACAAATGCAGTTTTATTAAACAGAAACTCACGCGCAAATATTGTTTTCGCGATATGTTACCATTACTTGTATTTGCACCCAACCCCAGTGTCAAGGTCTACAGCAGATACTAGCCATAACCTGCTATACTGGACCTACGTAACTTTGCCGCCCACCTGCATGACCACTTACATCCCGCAAAGCTCTGGTATGCCAACGGCTTAAAAATATCAGAACCAGTTTTTGCGATGCGATGGTTGCTGCGCGTGTGTGTACGAATAACATAAATTCGGACAGACCGATAACAGGCTGCATGTATATGTTTACTATGCGACGCACACGCTCACGCTCACGTTCACGCACACGCACACGCACACGCTCACGCACACGCATACGCTCGATGTTACTATGCGACGTGATATGTAACAAATTCCACACAGTTTATTACAAGTTCGGGACTGCTTGCTAAACGAAGCACGGTGACAGCTCATATCTCATGCCCCGCACGTGCGCGTGCTGCAACGCGCTCGAGAACAGGGAGGCATAGTTAACCGCCGTCGCCGGTGCAAAGGTGTTCGTAAATCTGCGATAATTAAGCCACTACTTTAAGCCTAACAGTGACGCACAGGAAATGCACGCGAACTTTGCGAAATAAGTCGCTTCAGCTTGATTAGCCATTAATAAAAGCTGGCTAAATTGTCACTAAGCTGACGTGATTCACCCATCCGTGCGGCGAAGTTCAATTCAGTCGGCCAGATTAAGCCGCAGTGCAGCTGAATGGGTCGTTGTCGTATCAGGTACTACAGATATGTACCCGAGGTGCATATATGTATACACAAAGTGTACCAGACTTGTACTACAGAAGTATACCCTAACCCTAACCCTAGCCCTAACCCTAACCCTAGCCCTAACCCTAACCCTAACCCTAACCCTAAACATACCTCATATAACAAGAGCCGCAGTAGCGTTCTGGGCTCATCTGTAGCCGTCTGTTGCTACGATTATAACGTAAAATTTCAGTCGCTGCGTAGTACCACATTGTTATAGGCGCAGATATCGCAGACACGCAGTTGCTGTATCACATCATTGTTAGGAAACGCCCACTATTCGCAGATGGAGGGTAGGGGGAGGGTGGGGGGAGGGGGTAGGGGAGCGGTAGGGGAAGGGGCGGGGGAGGGGGTGGGGGAGGGCGGGAAGGTGGACGGTGGGGGGAGGAGGCTCTAATAGCAAAAGCAGTTCACTCCTTTATTGTTAAGCAGTCAACAAATCCATGTTGTAACCCTCCTGCTGAAGGGTCAAAAAGGTATCTGACACTTACTCTTCGCATGTATCAGAAAGTAGATTTTTCATGGTCCTGTTCAATAATGCCCATAAAAATGCATAGGTCACGCGCTGAAAACAAAAAAGTTTTTCAATGGCGCTGCGTCAGACGGCATGTTCCTCAGAAATGTCTAAAAAATCTGCCCTGTGCCCATGCACCCTTTGACTCTGTGACTCCATTCGCAATGTGGGTGCGGCACAGTGGATGCTTTTCCTACAAATGATGCTATAACACCAACTATCAGCGAGCCTAGGTCGAGCCCGTTTAGATTTGTGCCGCAATTACTGCCCATTTCTCCTTATACCTTAAGTTAAGAAGTGAATGTTCCCCCTTCTTTTACACCTCTTGACCTTTGACCTTTGACCCCCAGCTTCGACATCCCAACTCGTTTTGACGATCCCCCCCAATGTGCCGAATATCGTGACCGTACGTCGAGCGGTTAAGATTTGTGCCCAACTGTTGACGGACGCACGGACGCACGGACGGACGCACGGACGGACGCACGGACGATCAAGCGATTCTACAAGCTGCATCTGACTATGTCAGATGAGCTAAAAATATAAACATAATACTAAACAACCTAAAACTACCTTGGGTACATATCTGTAGTACCTGATACGACAACGACCCCATCTGCCACACTGTCAGTGCACACATGTAGATAGCAAAATACGCACGGCTGACGCTAACCTGTATGATACAGGCGGTTCCGGTTCCGCTTCACTACACTGACGGTTAGTGTAGTGAAGCGGAACCGGAACCGCCTGTATCATACAGGTTAGGCTGACGCTATCACCGACTGAAAGTTATCATGTGTAATAAATCCGCTGTTTTGACCTATCAAGTTGATCAATCTAATCACTGTTCTTCGTGGTTACGGCGCCATGTAAAAAATAATTAAGGTAAAAATACTTTTTATGATGTTAGGGGATGAGGCATGTGGTACGTATAGGCTTTCCTGGGCAGCCTAGCGCCACAGTTGCCGTGATAGATCATCACGGGTTCGGCGCATGCGTAGTACTCCATGAACAAGTTCCTGTTAAACTTTTTCGCTGTCCGGTAGCGCGTGCACAGCTGCCGATTCCACTGGCACGGCAGCGGGTAAAACAGCTGCTGCGTCTCCATGCCGATCATCGAGTAGATGTCTTGGTCGCCAAGGTGATTATCGAAGAACAGAAAGCGTCGTTGCGTCGCGGCGAGCGTCGCCAGCTGTGTCGCGTTCGCGTACGTCGCCGACGTGCGCATGCGCTCTAAATCGAGCAGAATAACGCCGGTGTTGTAACCCTGGTGACCGCCGATGCTTGCCGGAACACCAGCTCGCTCGTCCTGCGCGTGCGCCCTGTAGTTCCGGAACGCGCAGTAATACACCGGCTGCTGCTCGACGCTGAGTCCCATCACCGCTTCTGGCTCGAAGTCGGCGAACAACGCCTGCAGTCTTGCGACGTCGGCGGCGACGTACAGGTCGCTGTCCAGCTTGATGACTCTGCGCAAGTGAGGAAGCAGTCGATGCACGACGAGCGTGATAAAGAAGAAGTCCCGGTTGAACTTGCCGCGCGACGCGGAGAACATGCTTCTGACCTTGCCGAGGTAATCGGCGTACGGCTCAAGCAATGTCTCCGTGCGATACAGACGCACCTGGAAAAGCGGCGAAATTATTGTACGCGGTGGCGAACATCGGGGACGCGACACATGTCGGATACCTGTATAATAAAGCTCGTGTCGATATTCTCACCTCACTATTGAGCTGCGTACACAATTACTGTTGCTCGTCTTGTGACCCCGATCGTTGTCAGACCAAAATATAGACGTTCATATTGTAATAAGAATAAGAAGATTTTGTCTTTAAAATATACCAAGGTTCTATGTGTATGTTATTCCGTATAGGGCACGACCCCATATAGCAGCCCTGCATTCCGGACCAAGTGCGCGATGTGCGACTTGTACGTATATATTTAGATTACACTTGCAGCATGCAGTGTAGGTGAGAGCTTTATTACTAGTCCTTGAAAATCCTATATTATGCTCTCTAACCTGACCAGAAATCGGGCCATTCATCATACACACATGCACGAGCCATTCTATTGAGTACAACTTAACCGAGGAAACTGACATCTCCGTTTAATGTTATTATTGTAATTTTCAAGAAAAAACACAATGGATGCGTGTAACACTAATTTTAGCGGTAAATGTTAGAATTGCAACATTACACATACGATTTTGATTTCAATTTTTTTTTTTAAATGTCTTAGTTTGGGTTGGCGAATATATTGTGAGAAATTCCACATACAGTGTACGTTACATTCCCGATATCTGTTCATGTATGCTATGACGTAAACTACCTCATGTCCCGTGCTATTCGTCGCTTTCACTGCGTCATGAAAGACGTCGCGTGCGACGATCACGCTGTACGCATCGCCGAGAAAATGGCAGCTGATGTTGACGGAGGCATTACGCAGCATTGACGTCAGCGTGCGCATCAACCCTGGTCCGAGCATCGCGTTTTGCTGCACGTTCGTGAACGTGAACAGCACGTTGACATGACGCACGTCCGCGTCGCCGCTGCGTCGAGACGCTGACGTATCGCCAACGAATGCGTCGCGGTCGGCGGACGCGGCTGGAGTGAGATAGCGCAATGCGTGTCGTCTGCTCGTCTCATCTGCTCGTGGCTGCGGCAACCACGACACGAGCAGCAGGTTAATAAAAATGGTTGCCAGGCAGTAAGCGCGCATCTCGACCAATCTTCGCAGGTTTAACTAACCTGAGGTGTATTTCTGACATAGACGATCTACGTTCGCCGACTGGCACTCGCCACAAATTGTAACAATAGAATTAATATCACTGTAGATCATCGTAGAATGTCTTGTTTATATGTGAGTCATATGAAAATCACCGACGATGTACTGTTCCCACAGGAATCGCAGTGGAACCTCACACAAAGTAATTACTTTAAATTTAGTGTCCACATAGAAATTTAGTAAGTCAACGTAGAAGTTGCGTTCACGCAGGAATCATCGGGAAATGTAGTTTATGTGGAGTTGCGACAACCGTACAGACAACAACCCGCACATCACAACAGACCGCAGGATATCGTCTTAGTTGGTTAAAAGTAAATCCAGCAAACTCGTTTGGCAAGTTATAAACCTGCTCACCTTGCATGACTAAACGAAATAAAATGTGCGCCCCTGCTGCCGCCGGCAATCCGCAAATTCGTCATGTAAGTATACACCCGAGTATATGAATGAATGAAAGTGTCAATGACACTGTAGCTCACCTTGGGTGTGATAGAAGAGGGAGGGGGATATATAAAGCAAGAGTATATATGGGAGAACTCCCATTATTTATATATTAATGCCTGCTGTTGGGGGCACTATGCTCTCATAGTGTTGCTGAGGGAATGAATAGTACCCGAGCGGTAGCGAGGGCACTATTCCTTCCCAAAGCAACACTATGCTCTCATAGTGCCCCCAACAACAGGCATTAATGTTTTTAGTGCATCACATGACTATGCAATCTACTTTTCATGCTTATATACCTTCATTATACTCCCTAATTTGCCGGTGCATTCGATGTAACAAAACGTTCGACACAAACACAACCGCCGTTCAAAAATCTTGCGTGGCGCCCAGACGCAGGAGATTCGTGACGTAAACATAATGCGTTATAATAACAATGCGTCGCGCAAGCAATAGTGCCCGCTCAGGCGGGCACTATCGCTTCATAGTGCCTGCTGCGTTATCCAATGAGATTTCAACGATTTATCACGTCATGCACTAAATAGCACATCTCCCATTATATACTCTTGATAATGATATATGCATAAGTTTTGATGCGAAAACAAATGTTTCAGATATGAAAGTCTGAAATCTTGACGGGAGATGGCGCTACGCCTAAATGATCGCCATATTAATTTTCAAATATTGCGCAAATAAAAACAATAAAATATACCAGTCAAATTACTGTAACGAAGAATCTAAAACACAATATTACACGTATATAGGTATGATTGTAGAGTTGTTATAACCAGCTAGACGAAATAAACGTAATAGGACGTTGTCATCTCTCCCATATATAGGAGTAACAACTGTTTTTGGGCTAGCCTTGCACATTCATATACCAAAATTTAACAAAATCGAATGAATCCAGAGAGACATGATACAAGATTGCGTGACACAGCTTTGCTGTTGATCCCGAGCGCTGCGCGCGGATGAGACGCGCAGTTCCGCGGGATATGCGCACGCGACCGCGGGGATGTTCAAGTATGAAGTGCTGTCCACAGTGGAGACGTGCGCCAAATTCGAGGCCCGGCGCACGGCACAGCGGTCAGCGGATTGTCTGTAGTTTTAGAAGATAACAATGAAGACTTCGTTCTAAATAAGAACTATCGGCGGCTAAATAAGAGCAATATACAGACCTTTGAATTTCTTGACTAGTCAGTCAAAGGGCTTGTTGGGGGTCCATTATGCAGAGCTTCTAATTGAAATGGCCCATAAAATTGTCAAGTGGAATTGTGTTTTTCGGAACCCCAAAGAAAATGTCTCCCTCTTACATGCACCCCCTCCCTGATCAATCACGCATTCAGGCGTAAACAAGAACAGAGATGAAATTGTGTTGAGTTTATGGCTCTTGGCGCACGTGCATTGACGTACAAGACTGATGAAAGGGCTAAAGGATAGAGAGCATGGTTGTGAGAGCAAAGCCGATGTGTTACGCTATACATATAGTTGCAGGGCCGTAGTGGCCTCCCAAAAAGTGGCACTGCATAAATATGTAGCCATGCAATGCGGGGAGTCTGGTATTCCCCCAGAAATTTTTTTGAAATGTAGAGCCTGAAAATAGCATTTCCTGCATTTTTAGGCTATGTTGAAAGCAACCAATTCTGATCATTTTAAAAGGTCAATTTGTAAATTTCAAAGAGGAAGGTAGCTAAAGCTGATGTTTTGACTAAAGTATCTAAAATATATGTTATGAGTATGATGACTATATAATAAAACATTATTTACAAAATTGTATACACTATCAGTACATAATTATGAAAAATAAGCCTATTTTCAATCTGCATTTATACTTTCACTATGTACATCTGTATGTTTTGAAGTTTGAATTTTAATAGGCACATTGTCATATTAAATACACATTCCAGAATTTTTTTTTCTTCAAAATAGTGCCACGGCAGTGCCGTGTTGCCGTCGCGGCCACTACGGCCCTGTAGTTGTCAATCTCGCCATGCTCTCTATCCTTGTACCACAAACAAAGCTTGGAACGTCTCAATAAAAATAAATCTTCACACAATTTTTCACAATGATCGACCGCCTGTGTGCAAAATAGGTGAACGTATGTGAAACATATACGGTTAATACTTACTGTGACATATCCGTGACTAACTGACACCACTAAATTGGTAAAATGTTTCATGCACCTTAAGAAATGTTAGAAATTACGAGGTTATCATCGCAGAACTCGCGAACACCGTACGTCACAAAGCTATAATATATGTAAACAAACACGCGGGTTAATTGCGAGGTGCCTGCCTCCGATATCCATTTCGAGGCCCGCTAAGCCAAGCATAAAGCACGCGGGCAGCGTTTATTTTTTCCGTACCGCAAATGCGTAAACGTCATACACGGGTTCCTCTGATTGGCTGCTTTGATTTGCTTTGACGTTTCAAACCTTCAAAACAAGAGAACAAACGCCTATTTGTAAATATTTGTTTTAGTTCATGATCAGTAGATAAGTAAGTTTTCTGATGTATTTTCTATGAAAAACACACATTTACTCATTAATATAAAATATAATATCACTATAATTACAATTCTTTGTGTAACTGTGTTATTTTCATCTTAATCTCAAATTATGAGAGGGTTTGGGCTCTCGTAACACTTACTACATACGTACGTATACGTACTCGGCCTAAAGCTGAAGGGGTCGTTGTCGTATCAGGTACTACAGATATGTACCCGAGGTACGTATATACATGTATGGGATACACAACTGTACCAGACCTGTATCTTCTCAGCATATAATAATGTACAATGTGTTTACATAAACGTACCTGCCCCTGAGATGGAGATCGAATGAAGACGGTCATGGAGGAGGAATAGGGGGCAGGAGGAGGAGGAGGAGGAGGAGGAGGAGGAGAAGAGGGGAGAAAGGAACGGATGGAAGTATGGGGCAGGAGGAGGAGGAGGAGGAGGAGAGCAGGAGAGAGGGAGGAGGAGGAGGAGGAAGCTGGAGAAAGTGATGGCAGATCGAATGAAGATCATGGAGGAGGAGTAGGCAGGAGGAGGAGGGGGAGGAAGAGGAGGAGGAGGAGAGAGGGAGAATGTGATGATGTAGGGGAAAGAGGAGGAGAGGAGGAGGAGGAGGAGGAGGGAGAGGAGCGAGGAAGGAGGACGGGAGAGAGGAGGAGGTTTAAGTGTGGGAGGAGAGTAGGGGGCAGGATGAGGAGGAGAGACAGTAGGAGCGAGAGGAGGAGGAGGAGGAGGAGAGAAGGTGATGAGAGTAAGGGGAGGAGAAGGAGGGGAGGAAGAGGGGAGAAGGTGATGGAGAAGGAGCAGGAGGAGGAGAAGAGGAGGAGGGGAGAAGTGAAGTGGAGGAGGAGTTAGGAGGTTGGATCACCTTACTCACCTCTTGCTCACTGATCACTGTCCCCCTTCTCCTCCATCCCCCTCCATCCTACCTGCCTCACTCCTCGCTCCTCCTCCATCCTCCACGCTACTGCCAACAACCTATCTCCGCCCCCTCATCCTCGCTCCTCACTCGCTCCTCACTGCCATTCCCTGCCTCCTCCTCCATGCCTCCCCCTGCCTCGCTCTCCTCTTCCTCCTCACACCTACTCCAACACGCGTCTCCGGACCTCCTCCATCCTCCTCCCCATCCCTCCATCCTCCTCCTGCCTCCATCCACCCACCTCGCAACACCGTCTCCATAGCCTCCTCCTCGCATCCTTCCAGCCTAACTGCCAACACACTTCCCCATCCTCCTTCCTCCTGCCTTCTACCCTCCTCAACATCACTTCACCCCATCCTCCTGCCTCCCCTCCTCCTCCTACCTCCTCCTCCTCCCCTCCCTCCTGCTCCTCCTCCTCCTCCCCTACTGCCATCACCTCTCCCCCCCTACCTCCCTACCTTCCTCCTCTCTCCTCCTCCTGCCTCCCCCTCCTCTTCCTCCCACCTCCTCCTCTCCTCCTCCTTCCCACCCTACTCCATCACCCTTATCCCCTCCTCCTCACTCCTCCTGCCCTCCCGCTCCTGCTCCTCCCTAACTTACTTCTCCTCCTCCATGATTGCTTCAAGATTCGTCTTTCTCACTTTCCATTCTCTCCGCTCCCCTTCCTCCTCCTCTTACTCCTCTATCCTCCTCCTCCTCCTGCCCCCTACTCATCACCTTCACCCCCTCTTCCTCCTCCCCTCCCTCCTCCCCTCCTCTCCTCCTCCCACGTACTCCACATCACGCACCCTTCTCCTCCTCCTCTTCCTCCTCCTCCTTCACCCTCTCTCTCCTGCCCCCTATTCCTCCTCCATGACCGTCTTCATTCGATCTCCATCTCTGGGGCTGGTACGTTTATGTAAACACATTTGACATTATTATATGCTGAGAAGATACAGGTCTGGTACACTTGTGTATCCCATACATGTATATACGTACCTCGGGTACATATCTGTAGTACCTGATACGACAACGACCCCTTCAGCTTTAGGCCGAGTACGTATACGTACGTATGTAGTAAATGTTACGAGAGCCCAAACCCTCTCATAACTTGAGATTAAGATTAAAAAAACACAGTTACACAAAGAATTGTAATTATAGTGATATTATACTTTATATTAATGAGTAAATGTGTGTTTTTCATAGAAAATACATCAAAAAACTTACTTATCTACTGATCATGAACTAAAACAAATATTTACAAATGGGCGTTTGTTCTCTTGTTTTGAAGGTTTGTTGTGTCAAGGCAAATCAAAGCAGCCAATCAGAGGAACCCGTATAGGACGTTTACGCATTTGCGGTACGGAAAAAATAGACGCGCGCGGGCAAGATGTCACAA